ATTTGATCAGCAGAGGTTGGAGTTGGATTAGGGTGCATGACTCTACTGGTTCCAGGTCGGTCAGTAACTCCAGTCTGTTGTTTACTTTGTCTTTTCCTTGGTGATGGTGGTGCTGAAATCACTCTTCTCTTCTTTGGTGTTGAGGCTGGAAAGCATGTTTTCTTTCCTGGGGGCCTGCCCAACTTTTTCTTTGTTGCTGGTGGTGGTAGAGGAAGCTAGCTTTCTGCATCTTATTCCTGGCTATCATTAATTGGACCAAGTCTCAAGCTTACAGGTACTCTCCCATTGTCTCTAGCAGCTATCTCAGTTGTTTGGCTCAGGAGGTTTCGGACCAAACTAACAGTTGTTTTTTCTACTTCTCCTTGTTCCTCAGCTAGCCGAAATCTTTCTTTCTGTGCTGCACTTTCAGTAGGATCCGCACAATTCGAATATTGGGCCATTACATCTCTCACTTCACCAAGTGCATTTTGTATGGCTTCTTCTGGTAGCACCTCAGGGGGTTTACTTTGTGTGTCTATCCGCTCCAGGGGAGGTCTTCTTGACCTTGGGGTTTCCGACCTCTCTTGTGATGATAGTAGAGCTCTAGGTAACTCTCTTCTGGTATTTTCTCTCCAAGTAGTTTTAGTTGTGGTAGGGTTCCATCTTTGATCAGCATGGACAGATACCTTTGAGTAGGATGAGGCCTGAGAGTTTGAGATACTAGGGATGTGGGAGTATCTGCACATATAGTCTTTTGACTGGTAGCTTCCATTATGGTACTGTTGTCTCTCTTTGTCTTTTTCTCTGTAGTAGGGGGTTCTAGTCTCTCTCCTGTCCTTTGTCTTAGGTAGTCTACCATAAGACTGAGCTGATGGAGTTATAGATGCATCCTTTAATCTTGCTTCCCGTCGGTAGTGTTTTGGCTCATAATCTTTGTTATCCCCTGAATTCTCTGAGTGCTTGATCCGGTGTGTTTCTCTTTTTTCAGGTAGTTCAGGACAATCTTTCATGTCATGATTAAGACACATGCATATTGTGCAGTATTTCTCCACTTCTCATAAGCCAAGACTGCATTCACCTCGTCTCCATTATAAAATTCCAGTGTAGAGGTCATGATTAGAGGTTTTAAACCATCAATTTCTACTCTCACTCGAGCTGAAGTAGTGGTGATTTCTGATTTCTCGAAGTGACCAATGTTATTTGCTAGGCTCAGAAGCATAGCCTTGG